AAAACAGGTTTAAATAATTACTCTGAAGCGTAGACACCAAGAACTACTCAAGAACTGTTTCCCATTTGCAAGACAGTCTATCAATTCTACAGGCGAGGTGACATTTCTCGGAGGCAATACATACTTCGACACCGGCCATCAAGTCATCCAATTCGTCGTAGGTTTTGTTCGCTAGATAATTTTTCAGTGGACGATTGAGGTGATAGTCCGTAGGAGCCTCTATTGGCGAATATGGTGGATGTGGGAGCAGGTTCCATCCCTTAGTGGCGTCGGATTCGACAACACGACGCTCAACATGAGTACGAGCGTTGTCATGGCGGTAGACGACATGGTCCCTCTTTCGAGGTCGTTTCCCTTCTATTGCAGCGTGAAGGCGCTCAAGTTGAGCTAGGTAGACATCGCTGCTGAGGTTGAACTGCCGCTTACCATTCTTGCCCTGGATCCGCCACTGTTCTCTATCATCATTGTAATTCCACCAGTAGCAAAGCCGTTTGAAATGATTTTCCCTAAGGATAATTTCGCTTTTGTCCCACCGTACACACACGAGACCTTACCGTGAATATCTTATGGTGTTTTTTGAATCAACACTCGGAGACACGCAAACCTTCCTTCTTCTGACATTTTTGAGTAGAAGTCATGACTCGTCACCCTTGACGAGGCTCTTCAAGTACAAAGCTCGCTCATTGGGTTGCAGCGAATCAACAGAAATCGTTGAGATCGCGAAATGAGTCTGCCGCCCTCCAACATTTCTCGAATGGTAGAGCATTGTGGTGAATATGAAGGTGGTTTTCTGAGGGCATTTCTATTAAGCTAAACCAGTAGATTATTCCTACAAGAAAACCCAAATGCAAAATTCAAATTGTATCGGAAAAAGGCGCGAAAAAATCTGCAATAATCATGCATCAACCTAATGGAAAGGTTCGAAAAAAGTAGTAAAATCAAGGGTTGGACGAGTATGTGATGACAAAAGTTGCGTGAAAGGGTTATTCAGACGACCTGTCCAAACATGTGCGCCATTGCGTAAAGCTGGCTACAAATAACCGTATGCGTGCAAGTTGCGCGTCCCGGAGCAAATGGTGCAAAATTCACTGGCTTTACAACGCTGTGAGAGCTTACGCCCTTTGTAGGCCATTTTTCATGTAGACAGCGTTCCCAGTGCTATCCTTGAATGCCACAAATTCATCCTAAGGAGAAATCTCAGCAACCAGTTTTATCGTGAACTAAGCCTTTGACTCCTTCTTCTTCTTCTTCTTCTTCTCCCTAGCTTTAGACCCGCATCGTCGAGAGGCCCTCTGTTCTTACTAGCCGTTCCCATTTCTTTCTTCCACGGCATCTTCTGCCGTTTCCTTAGCTTCGGTGAGGTCCCTCGGATGCCTCTGTGGTCTTCCTAGTACACTCCGAATCATCGTAGGCGCTGCTCTCCCATTTTCAGCTGGACTGGAGCTGTTTGCATAACCACGCTGACGTCAATATTTCTGATCCGATCCAGCCGCTTCCAACTGCAGGCCCATCCGAGCATCCTCATTTCAGCGGAGTGGAGCTGTCTTTCATGGTTTTTACTTGCCGGCCAACACTCGCTGCCGTAGAGCATCGTGGGCTTTACCACTTCCCGATAACCTTTCCTTTGAGAGTCCTGGAGCACCGATGGTCGCAGAGGTGGACTCCCTTCACTTCACCCATTCCTTTGGGGTTTTACGTCCTGGTCCACGCTATCATCAGCGGCTGGATCACTCATTAGGTACATCGACCGTCTGTCAACAATTTACCCCGCGCACCTCTTGGAGCTGAGGTATTTGTTCTTCTTCATGCTCAATCGGAGCCCGCTCTCTGCTACTACTTTTTGCCATTTCTGGAGCTTGTCCTGCATATGTCATCAGTTGTTTTCTAATGACGTCCATTGTAAGCAGGAAGAGGAACGGGCTTAGAGCTGATCCCTGGTGTACCCCAACTGTTACATCTATTGTTCCGGTTCGTCCGTGTGCAGTTCGTATGGTTGCCGTGCAGCCATCGAGCACACCTTGGCCGGAGAGATCATGTGTTTTGGAAAGTTTTGTTTTCGGGACGCTCTCCAAAGCACTTGTCGCGGGAAACGGTCGAGTGCTTTCTTCATAACTTGTCTAGCTATGAACATGCCATCCATTGAAGATACTTCAGACATGAAGCCGAACTGCTCCTGTGAGCTCACGACCAATTCCCTCAATTTTAAGTCTACCAGCTGCTCGTACAGTTTCGTCGTATGAGTAGTCAACCTGATCCCACGGCGGTTGGAACACTCCATCGCGTCTTTCCTGCTCGAAGATGGTGACGGTAGTACTGCTCCTCCGCGCGTATGGAATTCATCATTTAGTGGTCACAGTGTTTAGAAATCGGGAGCCGCTTTTTCCCGCGCTCTACGAGCGCCTTCCAAGCCTCGATGGAGAACGTCCGTTGCGCGTGTCCGTCGAAATTAGGTCACCCCGCCCACTTCGCGCGCGGCGCATCACACTGAGGTCTCGAGATGACAGCACAGTACCACCAAGTGTCTTTGGAGCAAATTATTTGCATTTGTCTGTGTTATCTTCTTGTTGAACTGACTGCCGTGGACCAAACGCAGAGCGTATGCCCCAGTGACAATTGCGACGTCTGTCAAATATCGCGGGCCGACTCGCCGCGTGCGACGGTTGCGGCGTGACCTAGTTTCGACGGACACGCGCAACGAAGCGCACCCCCGGTTTGTTCTGCTCCACAACTCGCTGGACTTCATCCTTCTAATACCATGCTCCCTTTTCCTCTCGGAACCCACCTCAAGTTTCCCATAGTACCTCCTTTGCACATCGTAAGATGACTTTTGCGGCGTTGCTCCAAGTCTACTGGGTCGGCCCTTCGGGATCTGGAAGTCCATTCTTCAGTATCTTCTCTTTGAGATGTTCTTCCCCGAATTGATGCAACTCCACCACCGGATCCTCTGTTCTTGTCCTCGTTTTCTTGAGGAGATCGATGGCTGTGTCCTAGAAGAGGCCTGTGCCGTAGAGCCAGATCTTCTCCAGGCAGTAACTTGATGTCCTCTACACTTTTGAGAGACGAACTTTTTACTACCACCTAATTTATTTTAGTTTCTTTCCTGCTATAGGTTACCTGCTGAGACTTCTTTTTGACGACTGTGTTGGAAGGTGAAGGTGAAGGTGCTGCAAACTGTCAGGTCATGAGCCATGACCAGTCAAGGACCCTCTCTTCTTCTTCGTTTCTGACTTCTGTGCCTCTCCTCCATGTACCCTTTTCAGTTCTCCCTCCTTTCATTGCCTATGTGCCCATTCAGACCACCTCCTATGGTGAGATAGTCCCCCTCCGGAACTGTTCGGACAGCCTTTCAAAGCTTACATAGAACTCATCCCTTCCGTAGACGGGGCAGCCGGCTTGTGCTGCGTACACGAATGTTATTGTCCAGTACCACCATTCGCGTCTATCAGCCCACAGTCATGACGGCTGCTGATACTGTCGACGGCGGAGACAGAATCTCTGTGAGGTCTGCCACTGCAATGGCCATACCATTTCGTTTGGTGTCTTCTCCGTTGAAGGCAAAGGAATTGGACGTTCCTGCGGTTCATAAGATCGGCGACCTCTCGGAACTTCCCACTAAGCGATTCCACGTTCAGAATCCCAATTCGAACTGAATTGTTTAGCCGAGGTCGTTCACTCCTCGGTAGCCCTCGCAAACTGACCACAGGACTCCAGCGCCACTTCCAGGTGACGCCCTAGCTTCATCACTGATACTTTTTGGGACCTCAGACATAATTGTTGTGACACTATCAGTCTTCCTGTCAAACTGCCTGACACTGGCCCAGGTTTTTCGCATTTTCGCCAATGCAGTTGCCTCGTTGGGGATCGAACTTCTGCTCTCTCTAAGTGCAGACCTGAGCTTACTTTCTTATCCTCAGCTGCTGCTTAATCTGTGCGTTTAGCTAAATACCTCAAAATTAACGTGAGTCGTACCTTCAACGGAGCCATCCAACCACCTCGTGCCCAAGGTCCCATTTCGATTTTGCTAGGCCACTGTAAGAACGAGTTCCTGTACTGAATTGTTATGACTGCTTCGACCATTCGACACGTAGCTAACACCCGCAGCAATTGTGGGAACCATTTTTTCATGATCAACATGAGTCGTTTAGCAGAAAAGCATTCCAGTCCACAACACAGCTGTCTAAAAGTTTCCGTTCAAGTTTTCAGCCTAGATCAGATGGAATTTTTTGATAAAATTTTGATGAAGGATTAACACATCGGGCTGGTTGATGAAGAAGCTAAATTTCTCACTCTCACTCACTTGCTAATGAAATCATGAAGGAAAATAACTGAACCTAAACTAAGCATAGCAACGGACAACGCCAGCCCTAACAGTTGCACGAAGGTGCTCCAAAAGCAAGCGGCGCATTACCGCCGTAAAATATTTCTTGCCTCACTACGAGCACTTTACACGGTCTTCACGATCGGTGTTGTCAAGGCGTCCCCCTAAAAGCAGGAATCAATGCGGGAAAACGATACAAACACTTAATCCACAACTTCCTAAACCCTTCAAACGGTTCTAAACTATTCCTCCTGCGTGCCCCAGGTTTTTACCATTGTTGGTGCATTCGGGCCCCACCGACGAGCACTTTTTCCACCGGCCCACCGACAAAGTTCTTGGCCAAGAACCCCGTCAGCCGGTCGGTCGATCGGTCGGTGAGAACAATGCACGTCAGTGGAATCTGAATGCATCCTTTTCTCATGAAATAATTACCAAAAAGCTGCGCGTTAATGGGTGAGGTGTGTAGTCCGTGACATTGCTGCGACAGATATATGCTATTCTACGACTAGTTGAGTCATTTTTCCGCATTTCGTTGGTAAAGTGATTTTTCTAATCTGAAACGTGTCGTATAGATAATGTTATTTGATGTATTTCAACAGCATATTATTAGCCTCCGCAATTGTCGTTTGTTTACAGCTCTATTTTTGCTTGTTTCAGTCCCTTTTCCAAATCTACCTTCTAAATGGAATACCTATTCGGTCGAAGGAAAACGCCTGCTGAGCTTCTGCGACAGAACCAACGAGCGCTCAATAAGGGTAATTATTACATAGTTCCTTGGTTTTCTAACTGAAGACGCCATGCCTCAAAAGTAAGTTTAATGTAACAAGTGGATATCCCAATTTACCTTGTTTTCAATAGAGGATGGAACCGAATAGAGGAAAGTCTTTGACATGCTTGATTGAGAGGAAATTACGACATGTTTCAAAGGTTCAAGGAGCTTGGAACCTACACTGAATTGAAGCGTTATGTGATAATGTTCGATCGCTGTGTGGTTTCCTGGGCAGCACTTTGACCAATGGAACATCACTGTAGTCTTGTTCTGGCATCGGGTGCTTCTAAAAGGCTTCAAGTAACGATAAATAGGACTGAGATTATCGGCAAAAACAGTACGGAGTTTTACTACTCAGGTAGTACTCAAATTCCATTTCCACTCTGATTAGACTTACAAAATCTTCAGGTAACTGAGCCTTTTCGTGTTCTAAAATATGAAATGTCCTTGTCAGTTGAATTCGGTATTCAAGAAATTTAGTAATCCTAAATTCTGCGAGTTAGTTGTGATAGCTCTTTGCTCTCCCATAGTTTGTTGCTTCACCATTAGTGAGAGGAATAGGTTTTACGTTCAGAAATGTGGTGTCAGTAGTGTAAGAACTTCAGAACTTGTTCTTTTTGCCGTATCTCACTAGTATGTTGTATTTTAGCGATTCGAGAGCTTGATCGAGAAAAGTCACGCATGGAAATGCAGGAGAAGAAGGTGATTGCCGAAATTAAAAAGATGGCCAAGCAGAATCAGATGGTGAGTAATTGAACCATCTCAGTCACTAATGCTCACAGTCAAAAGCTTTGCTAGATTGTTTGATGGACGAAATTCGTGTCATCTTCGTTTTTCTGACATCTAACCATTCCGAGTATCATTTCTGAAGAAGTTTCCAGATATTTGTGGAACCGCATAATGATGACGTTTATGATTTTCTTTTTATCAGGATTCAGTGAAAGTCATGGCAAAAGATCTTGTTCGCACCCGTCGATATATTAAGAAGTTCATAATTATGAAGGCGAACATTCAAGCTGTTTCACTCAAAGTTCAAACGCTAAAGAGTCAGGACGCTATGGCGCAGGTATGTTATGCTGGGTTTGTAATGCTTATAATTTATCGTTGTAGTTGTAAATTTTGCTTGTTTCTTACTCATTCCTGTGATTATGTGGTATTTGAATAGTGTGCTTAGAAGACATTTTGGAAACCCCGGTTCTTTATGTTTTTTTTTTGGAGAATTATTTCTCAATTTCAGGCTATGAAAGGAGTCACGAGAGCAATGCAGTCAATGAATCGGCAATTGAATCTCCCACAAATTCAGAAAATTATGATGGAGGTATCATATTTTTATCCATTCAAATTCCTAATTTTTCTTTTGGGCATTTTAGGCATTGCATGGCATTTGATTCTCTAATCTGAAGGTAATTATCGAGCTGTAGGTTGCTTTGTGGAGGTTGTTCGTTGGTTCCACCCCGGTTAATTTACGCATCCAATCTTACCAAGCTTCAATTTTACTTATGCCATAGTTGCATACTACTCAGGTTGCAACATCATCGCCTTACCTAAAGTTTAAATCAGACCACTTATCTCGAAAGCAATGAGTTTTCCTCCCCAACTCCTCAAAGCTGATTGATCTCTGCGTGGTCCCTTTGGCGGGCCACATATAGTAAGTGATTGCATCCATAACACCGACCTCGGTTCGCTACGCTGAAGCAGGAGTTGGCGCTGATTGCCGATCGATATCCTTAGGTCGGTACGATAGTTCTGTTGCATTATGAATCATTAGGCCTTGAGAGTACGTGCTTTGCTTTGCTAACTTACGCATACTAATCAACTAGATGTTTCACATTGTGTGACGACTAGTTTCAGCATATACGTATACGATTCTCTTTTTGATTGGACGTTTTTTGTGCCTTCTTTATTCGAGGCTAATTGTCAGTGCTGTTGCAAAGATTTTCTAAATGTTATGTCACGTTATGTTTACCGCTCTTAGGGATATGTTTTATATTTCGAACAGTGAGAAAGACGCCAAATGCAGCTTGAGTCGATTCCGAAATATTGGTCGAAGGCCAATGCTGACGCCGATGTTGGTAGTATGAATGCGAACTGTCGCGTGGTTGCATTAATACTACCGACGACAGCGACTGGGAAGTCGTTGTGATCCGGGGCGGCGCGCATTTTATCTACCGACCTGAAACATCTTGCCCAATGAGAACGCTGTTTATGCCTTCTTAACAGCTGAAAGAGAAGGGAAGCTTTTCTTCTAGATGAGCGAGTTTCCGTGTTTAGCTGGTGTTTTAGTCATATCCGAGATTAACTATAATTTCTACTGCTGATTATCAGTATTTGAACATATTGTAAAATACCATTTTAACATATTAAACCAGCGTACCAACTAGAAGCATGCAGTCACAGCACCTGCTATCACAGCACGCTTTTCTTATTCCCTTTCTGTGCACATAGATCGTGCTTCGAATACCCTACTTTGATGGGAGGTTCGTTTTTCTTTCGGATCTTCGCCAACATGCTGTTTCGGGTTATCCCTACCTGGGTTCGTTTTTTTTTCGCAAAAAAAGAGCCTGTGACTGCTTGAATAAAGCAGCTCAGGAGAGGATATTTGTTCTTGCTGAAGCTTTCAATTAGCGTTGATTGAGTTTAGTGAGCAAGTGATGAAGACAGCACTCATTTTGGTTACGAAACTACCGTAAAATTACCGTATGTTGCCTTTAGTTACATAATATATTTAAAGTATATCAGGTTCTAGAATTGGTCCAGTGCCAGTAGGATTTCTAAAGTTCCCACTCGTTATTTTTATTGTCTCCATGCATCTATGTGAAGTTCTTTTTTTTACAGTTCGAAAAACAAAGTGAAATTATGGATATGAAGGAAGAAATTATGGGTGACGCTATTGACGATGCCCTCGGTGATGAGACCGACGATGCTGAGAGCGAGCAGATTGTTAACCAGGTCACTGAAAATTATTCAGCCGGAACGATTAAATTAAAATATGTTGTTATACGATCTGTCTTTTATGTAATTTCTTCAGGTCCTGGATGAACTAGGTATTCAAATGGGCGAGGAAATGGCCGGGTTACCCACGACAGGTGGACAAATTGGCGTCAGTACAGGCGAGAGAGCCAAGCAACCTGTTGCTGCGGGAGGAGGCAACGACATTGATGATGATTTGCAAGCTCGTTTAGATCAGTTACGACGAGAATGAAATAGGTTTTCCAAAATGTCAATGTCTTTTGCTTCTTTTGTATATTGTACACTTTAATCTGAGCGTTTTGTCGTGCGCAGTTGTGGTCACGAGCTGAAACGAAATAGCTTAATGTAAAGCGAATGAGCTGATAGGACATCGGCAGCCATTTTCATTGGCAGCCTTCCTTTTGTAATTCCCTGTGTATGTGTTTCCCATGGCTCATGAAGTAGCCAAATTTAGGCCCGTGATCACAAATCCCCTTAACTTTGTGGATTGAGCGTTATCCAAGCGTTCTTCATCTTGAACAATTGTTACTTATTTGCCTGTGAAATGTAATGTGAGGTTTTCTGAGAGTTTCGTCTTCTCATCGTGTCGAGATACCTTTGACATACGTTCTTGAATTCCATTGGTAGATTTGCTCTGTTAAAGCCTCTGCTGTTGTTTGGCTTGACGATTCATTTCCGTGAAATACTACTGACTTCACAGTAATGATTTGAGACATATGACTGTGGTCTTTATACCATCAAAAATAATCAATTCATAGTCACATGATATAGTATTTACATAAACATTGGATGCTATGAAGCGACGTTTACACTTCATAGTCGCTAGGTCAAGTTTCCGAAATGATAATCTTTATTGTAAAGAATTGAATGAAGAGAACACGCTTGGGTGTTTGCAACGCCACGTAACAAACACGTCTTCAAACTGGGAACTGATCACTGCGATATCATTGCGAAACTGTTGCAATGCTGGAAAAAGTAAGTTTTGGTTGCATTGTTGTAACCAATATTGCTTTCGTTATCGATTCTTTGAAATCTCTTTTCTTGGACTCCTTTCTTGGACCAGTAGTGTCAAATGATACTTTCGCTTTCTCGAGTTTTTCCTAGGTTGCCTGCAGTGCAGGCGACTCTGCATTGCCTATTAGTCTAGGATGGAGAAGCATAACCAGGTGTCAATACAACTGTATGTCAATCGTTCGACGTCCTGGCGGTGTGGTCGACGTGAAGGACTCGGAGAAGGTCTTCTTCGACTCCTACCGAAATCCTAACAGACACATCCACTTCTCCATTGACCCTCCAAAACAGTACGAATATGTCGGTTCTTCTCCCTACTGAAGTAGGTCATCCTTTCCATGAGAAATCATGCCTGAGTTCAACCACAACTTCTAAAAAGTATCCAATCATTAACAAAAATCTTGCTTCGCTCTTCACAAATATAGGTGGTCAGCATAGCTACTGTTTCGACGCTTTATGGTATAATGCTCGATAGGATATTTATTTCAATATTTATTGGGTCAACAAGTCATAAATACAATTCGTACCATTACAAAGTCAAACATTCTGAAGATTGTGCAACCTTGTTTGTCTTGCTTTGGAATTGCTGGTGGTGGGTCCGACAGGCGACAAGTTGGAGCGCTCAGCTTATTTCCTTTGAATTGTTGCACCGCACCGCTTTTGTTCATTGTTCAGTGGAGACGATCGTCTGTCTTCCTGTAGTTAGGTTATTGGTGAGCGGAGGGCGAGGAATTTGGAGTTGGGAGCAGTGCCGAGTGTGCACTGCCCGATTTGGAACCGCCGAGCTGTGGAGTTGCCGAACTGTCAGGAACTGCTTGAGAGAGCCGCCGATAGCAGAGCCGAGAGCTCTGAGCCCGAGGATTGTCGAGAGCTAGAGAACTCTCGAGAACTCTTGAGAACTCTGGAGAACTCTTGAGAACTGCTGGACTGACACTAACTGGGCCTTTTACACCCAAAAAAATGGGCGGCCTATATACTGGCCCCGGTGGGCGGTGCATTTGGTCTTTGGTGTGGGAACCTTACGAAATTCCAGCAATTTTGTGCTTTGGTGTGGGAACAAGCGAAGTTTCCGCATTTTTGGAGCCTTGCTGGAAGTATTGATTGATTGATGAAGGTGTTCATGTGTATCCTTGTAATCATGACGAAGAGTCGTGACAGCTACTTGTAAGGAGACAGGTTGTTCTCGTTAGTAAGGGGAAATCGACAGTATTGGTAAAAATCACCAACCTTTTCTGTTGTCTGTAATTTTTAAATTAAAAAACTCCATAGAAATGGAGTCAGTTAAGACGTAAAGGATGGGAGTGAAGGTTAGCAATCATATCACGTTTGCTTGTAGCTTAGATGATGGAGAGCGTTTTCCGAAAGTTGCCTAAACGACGGATAGAAAGAAAAAAGCCAGTCATGTCCTTCAACTCATTGGCGACCATGCCTATTATATTGTCCTTACATTAACTTTAAATTTCTCTCAAAACTGTAGCTAAGAATAAATGATTCCTGGACCAAATATCTCATGATTCTCTAGAAGGCTGTAAACTCAAGTGATACTTGAAAATATGAAAAAAATTATAAGAGCACTTGATAAATAATATAAATACTACAGGAGCACGATATGGTAAGGCCCGCCGGCGGGCCACGCGATCTTCAATGAGTTAATTTTCAACAGAGGACTGGAGTGGGTCTCAAGTTCAAGGCCTGACGATTCAGCGTCTAATTAACAGTTTTTTGAGGGTGACTTCAACAGCCCTTATATCACTTAGGTCACACACTGCTTACCGATTTGGAACCTGGTTTGATCGGTCTTCTTGTGGCTCCCCAGATCATCGTATCAGTGTTAATACATTTCCTTCCTTTTATATATTAGAAAAAGTAAATAAAGTAATAAGGAGAGGGACGATATAATTGAAAGTGCCTAGAGCATTATATGACAGAAATGAATTGAAAAAATGGAAAATCATCAGTTTGATGCAAAAGTATTGAGACATTTGCTTGCACGTTTTGAACTTTTTCACATTTTCATTTGAACTCTCACACTATAGACCGAGTGATCATCTATACAGCAGTAGGACAATTTTCTTACCCCTGGAAAAGGAGGACTGTAGGTCGAAGAAGTAGCAACAGCATTCCTGTGATTACCGAAATTGGCGAAGCTTTTCTTGGCCAGAAATTGCTTGAGGTGCCTTACAGATGGTGGTCAGAAAGAAGGATAGAGTGGATGAAGAACTCTGTTCCAGTCAAGTCTTTGCACCATGCATTGTGTTGTCTTTGTAACGTGAAGTCGAGCGCTATCTCCTAGAAGATAGACAGAAACTATTTTTTTTGCGATTGCTTGAGCGAGTTCCTGGAGCTGAGTGCTGGATATGTGAGTCGCGACTGTCTGACCTTGAAGAAGCAACTCGTGGCAACGTGTGTTCTTTTTGCGTGCTAGGAGCACCATAGAAAAGCTTTCCTTGGGTTTCTCTCTGACTGAAGCTGGATGTGTGATACTTCTCCTTTCGGAGAAAACCAGAAAAACATCTTTTTATAAACAATGCACCTTTTTTTGATCGCCATTCATCTGGTGCGAGTTTCCGGTAAGCCTGTCGAGAAAATGTCGAACGACGTTGCTTTTATGGCACCAAAGAGGTTTTGCCAATTCCCTGCTCGTAACCTCCGGCCTCTTCGTCTGAGAGTTGGATCATCGTTTATAGCAGCTGGTCGTCTGGGAGAGAGATCCAAAGTCATATCTCTACGATTGAAGAGATCAAATAAACGACTAACGGTCAAATGACTGACAAGGTCCCCTCCAAATGCAGGTTTTATGTTAGAGTCAGAACGAGCGATGGGGCTGCACCACCAGTTGCAGAGAAAGGTTGTTTGCCGTTGATCTTTCGGCTATTTCTACATGGCTTGCAATGGAAGCAGGACTTATATGGATATTGCTGGCGGTAAATTTGAGAATGGTCCGATATGTGATGACGCTCCGAGGCCACAAATTCCAAATGAAAATAGACGAATGGCGATTCTAATTAAAAGTTTACTCCGGCTTTGATTTCATCAAGCAGTTCGATCTCAGAGGTCTGGCAGTGCTCGCTGTTTGTGGAGGTGACGTGACGTAGCCCGTTGCTGGGTTTCCAACCCTGCATGAATCCGCTCGGTGGTCGCACTGATCAAGGTCCGATGTCATTTAAGCATTGCAGTCATTATTTGAATAGTTCCGAAATCCTCGAAATCAGAGCTGTGAGGACGACGAATTTGCCGAAACCTCAGGTGAAACTAATGTTACACTACTGCTGGGGCTCACCACGACAGAAACACAGAATACTCATAAAACAACAAAGCCCAAAATTTCGAAAAAAAGGAGCACTGAGAAAGGACAGATAATACCTGCACTCTTGCTTCAGTTCCTATACTGAAAAGCGAAGTGGATGTTCTCTAATCGCCCAATTCCATCTACAACTAAAAAATTGCTAGATTCTTCTTTCTCGACAAGTCTGCTTGAAGAATAATTTCGGAAGACAAGGTAAGAGAAAGCGATTGCTCGGATCACAGAAGAGCTGGTAGATGTAATTACAATCGGTCCAACTCGGCAAATAGAGTGTCGGCCCAACACTCTAGAAAATTCGGGGGTGATCTATAGATCCTTAGGACGTGATAAGAGTTGTTGCGAAACAACGTGATATTTCTCACCCTTCATCGCGTCTACAAGACTGCGCTGAAATACACACAAAATGATACACAAAATACAGGCAAAGTTATCAATTTATGCAATAAATATATGTATGTACATATAAATAATGGCACCATATACCGTAAACGTCTCATGCCGTTCTCCCGAATATTTTTTGCTACTTAGTGAATGAGGTGAATAGTGCAATGTGTTGGTGCTACCAAATTAGTGGTCTAGGGTTCTACTGAGAATCGGTTCTCGTTTATTCCCATCGACCTCGATGACTGGTAGCTACTCGTCTGTAGATGAAAACTTGTGTAGATACTACTAACCAATATGGTGTCCGGGTAGTAAACGTGGAATTATGTTACAAAAAGTTGACAGGAGATAGGGAAGCAATACGTCATAGAATACTGATTTCTCACTGAACACTGATCTGTGCTACCCTACTGATTTTCTGCAATTAATTTCGCATGAATGTCAATTTGTTAACTCCATGCTCAAACAATTTATTGAGGGAAAGAGACGACCATAACTCTCTCCAGTCTATAGAGACAGACGGCAGACACGTAGTCGTCCTTCGTGCTCCTTGTGCTCATATAGCCGTTGCATCCGTATAATGTGCCTGGGGGAAGACGTTCGAGCTGAATACGTTTCTATATCATATGCTACACATCCACATAATGTTTGAACCAACCCTCTGTGGCCACCTATAAATTGCTTTGATTTTTAACCCAACTTTCGATGCCATTGTTACCGCCANTACGACGCAACAAATCCGTCTATTACTCTATCGCCAGTATTCGAAAATTTTGTGGCAGCTCAGTAAGCTTATTGCTGTCAACTAACCTCTGCTTCCTTTTCGTCGAAATGGATTTCTAAAACGTCGAGTATTTTTTGCCAAACTAACTTGTCATTCGCATCAGCAACGAGACTGAAAGATCGTAAAGAGACCGAATCAAAGAAAAATATGCGATAAAACAGGTACAAACCCTCGTCCTCCGACGATCAGATCGGCTTTTATTCTATCCCGGTGATCCGGTGACTTGAGAAAATCCAACGCCTTTTCGGCCAACTCATCGCTCCAAACCTACCAATCGCGAATTATTCATCTTTTCTAGCTTTCAGCTAAATTTGTTTCGAAAACTAACCAGGTCATTGGTGTACATACTATTGAGCGTCACAAAAGTTTCCTTCTCGTTCAGTGGAGTTTCCGAGCCTGAAGAGAAAGCTCTGTTTGACAGTCAGTCGAGATACACATCGTAGCGGTCATGAATTTTTCAAGTCAATCTTATGCTACAGTACTCACCATTTACGGAAGAGAGCGTTTCGAGGAGAGTCACTAGTGTGAGCAGCAACAGCATTTGCATGTGATACAAATTCCTCGACAAATCTCCTATTTATGGAGAGTGGTTATGTATTTTATCGGCACCTGCATGTATTTGCAAATAAAATTCATCGCCGTAGTTCTTTTTTGAAAAGAACTACTTGCAAGTTTCTTCTCAATAGCATGGCTCCGCATCTAACCCTCATCAATTATGGAATGCTCAGTTCTCCAACTAGGTATTGATGGAACAGGCGTTGTTATAGATAAAGCAACTTAACAATAAAATTTACCCTAGCTTTGCATCAAAATTTCCGCTTAATTCAACGCTCGCAAGAGTCTGTACTTCCGATACTAGGGACGAGTGTAATAGAAAATAGAGGCAAATGAATTGAAAGATTGCAATCGCACTTCTCCGTAACGAGATACTAACAAAGCTCACATTTATAAATTACTTTCGTATTTTATTGTTCACTTGAGCCAACGGCCCCTCGCAATTTCGCCTATTTCCAGTGATCCGAAAAGGCGACACAAATTCCGCGTTACATCGCTCTACCTGGTCACAGAACTGAGCGGTTTCCAGTATAAAGGAGTTCAGATGTGGAGCGATACAATTGAAAAGCTTGTGGCGAGTTCTTTTTTCAAGAAAAGCTAGGCAATGGGTCGTATTTGTTCGCACAAGCAGGTGCAAATAAAATACATCACCGCTATTCATAAATAGGAGATCTGTCGAGGAATTCGTATCACATGAAAATGTTGTTTCCATCCACACTGGTTGCTCTCTCCATAACAATCTCCTCCGTCAAAGGTGAGTTTTGTAACATAAGAATTACTTCAAAAATCCAAGAACGCTTCGATGAACACCTCACTTGTAAGAATTTGTAAGACTTTCTCGACTTACCCGAGACCTTCTCTTCAGGCACGGAAACTCCACTGGACGAAAAAGAAACGTTTGTGACGCTCAACAGTATGTACACCAATGATCTGGTTGGTTTTTCTGGCAGGCTTAGCTGACAGCTACAGATGATGAATAATTTACGATTGATAGGTTTGGAGTGATGAGTTGGCGGAGAAGGCGTTGGATTGGCTCAGGTCACCGGAGCACCGAAACAATATAAAAGCTGATCTGATCGTTGGAGGAAGAGGGTTCGTACTGCCTAATCGCATCTTTTCTTTTGATTCGGTCTTTTCATGATTTTTCAGTCTCGTTGCTAATGCGAATAACAAGTTAGTGTGGCAAAAAATACTCGACGTCTTGGAGATCCATTTCGATGAAAAGGAAGCAGAGGTGAGTTGGCGGCACAAGCCTACTGAGCTGCCAGAAACTTTTAGTTTCGTCCGTTTGGTGATCGAATTATGGGCTAAGGTTATATACCGTTCTATCAAAACCTCTCTGTATATGTATGAGCCGTGAGGAAGTGCTCGTGAGTATTCCTAAGCACCTCATTTCTATGCTCTAGCGGCAGCACTAGCGTCGAAAGTTGTTTCAAAAGTTAAGGCAAGCTACATGTGCCTATAAAATGTATTCCGTTGGTGTAGCTGTTTTGCCAAAGGTATGAACACAGCATTCAGCTCGAACGCCTTCCCCCAGGCACATTGTACGGATGCAACGGCTATATGAGCACAAGGAGCACGAAGGACGATTACGTGTCTGCCGTCTGCCTCTATAGATTGGAGAGAGTTATGGTCATCTCATTTCCTCAATAAACTCTCTAAGCGTGTAAGAGCAAGTTTTGCGACAAAGGATACTTTACAACACAAGTATTCAAAAACTGCACGGATCACTCAGTAGCCAACGAGCTAGCGTCGAAGACGTCTGAGAAGTTTTCTTTTCAAAGGGGAACAGATACTGAATTAGACTTTTTGATCCGTAGCGCATGTTGTAGCCTCAACACTTGGCCCTATAAATTTCAGTCTTGAGTAGAAAAATTATTTATGAGAATCACATAAGCCTATCCTGACATGTTGCACCTTCACTTTCGAGCTACTAAACTATTTTGTCTTGCTCTTTGGACAAACGGACATTTGAGCCATTTGCTCCTTCGATATTCTCCGTTATCTCAGCAACTCTGTCGCATTTCTTATTCAGTTGTTGCCACAATTATTCCGTGAACATGCTGATTCGTTGAGGGAAGCCTAGTGAACCAGGTTTTTGTTATGGATGCAACTAGGTATTTCATGTAATCCTATCTCGCCTCCTTCCTGAAACCTGGATATATTACATAACTTTCTATACTATTCCGACTTGATGTTTTGTTTAGTGCTCTTATATCGCCGCAGTACGCGATGTGAAAGTCTCACAAGGATGGCGATTTGTGGGCAAAACTTCTGCCTCGGACAGGACTTGAACCCGTACTTGTGCTTTCCGGGCACCGTACTCTTCATCCCTTACACTACCGAGACCGCGGAGTAATGGGTAGTAAATATGTTAAGTCGCGGAAATGGTTGTGGTAACTTCTTTACGAAAATGGCGCAACGTTCGCCGCATTACATCACGCGCTATTAACTTGAAAGTTTGAATTTCCAGTAGGAGATGCGGTGCTGGCTGCGGAAGCACTGTCGCTTGTCATTGGAGTTCGGTAAGAAGTCCCGGACTCTTATCAGTGTGTTAGAGTTGGCTTGCCGCCTGCACTCTCCCATGTTCAGAATCTCTGGACCAAGAAAACAGGAGCTATTAATTCCCAGCAGAGCCTACGTGCACACATACCGACACACCTCGTGCGGTGGACCCATCTCCTCTTATTTCAAACTGCGTGTTTCCTCCCAAAGTACTCTCATTTCACGCATAGTCCTCTCCCTACATTCTTCCCACTTCTCCGCGGGCTGGATCTAGTTCAATTACTTCCTGCTACCGACAGTCGGCGTCTTAAATCTGCCGCCTGCACTCAATCCAAACTTGAACGCCCCAAATCCTAATAAGCAATCTTCGCGAACGTCCCGCATCCTGCGGGCGGAGTCAAGTCATGCCACCTCTTGTCAATATTCCCAAACTGCCGTCTTTATTCCTAGCAAATTTGAGTGAAACAGTTCCAGCTGCTAATTTTTACGCACGCCCCTCCCCCGGACCCGAGCCTTGTCACCCAGCGTGAGTGTTTCCATTGTTCCGACTGTACTCCCACACAATTTGAACGCTCTGGGATTAGGAGAACATGAGCTGTGATTTTCGGNTTCAAAATAAGTGTTTTTACCCTGCCTTAACTATTCCTACCAAATCCCACACAAGAGATGTGAAATTTCGTCCAAACACTCCTTTCGGCGAAGTTCCTTCTTTTAATCCACCATAAGTGTTGCTATACTGTCGCCTGTACTCCTACGAAATTTGAATGCTCTAGGGCCAGTGGAACATGAATTATGAATTTATGGTCAGACACACATATACACACACAAACACACCAAAAGGCGCACTTGGAAGGTCATATGGGTAGGATTGACCATTTCTCTGCGGAAATCATGCTTAATGTCACAAATGATTATTTTTGGCTTCAACGATAAGCTTCATTTATACGTCGCTTATACTATGGTTGAAGTAAGCTTCATTTGTAGGGTACTTATTCTACGACTCGAATCAGAGAGTATCGTTGAATTTCTCATTGAATATCAAAACTGTAGTGATGTACCAAATAGGTATCCAAGACAAGGTCATTCGATAGAGCACAGAACAACGAGATCACATCCTCTTGTGAACATCGGGCTTGGCCAGTTCAAAACATTGGCAGAGATGCACGAGCGTGTCGAACGATGTAGTGGTTTCATTGACTGGTTATTTGACAGATCGAGCAAACAAATATTTGGCAATTCTAGCACTTTCTCAAATACTACGGAGGTTTTTGCTAGAAGAGTACCCGTTACGATAGCAAAAGATAACACATATATTTTCACATGAAGAATTCTTAGAGAGCTTGCAGCGACTGAGA